AATCTTTATGAATCAATCTTCTAACATTGACCAACTTATACGAAAATATCCCTTTCATTTAAGAAAAAAATATAAGACATCTTCACCAACCAACTGTAAACTGAAGGCCTCGAAAGAAGGAAGTACCAACGAACATTTTACCACAGTTTGGTGGGTTCATTGCGTGATATCGCAGATAGCACTTGGCTCGACCTCTCCTATGCAAATTCCATACTAAGCCCGATTTTTACATTATAATAATGAGGAACATATGAAACTCGCATTGAGAACATTGAACTACCTTTATCACACGAAAAATCTCTCTTTATTCATGAATTACAAAAAATTTACGGAAAGGATAATAATTGAATGCTACTGTGACTCTTCGTGAGCAAACAGTTATGACCAGAGAACCACAATGGGTCATATAATTTTTTTGTACGGATGTCCTATACAATGGCACTTAAATGTAGATAAATCCAAATAAACAATTCTTCTTGCGAGGCGGAGTACGTGGCGTTGAGCTAGCCTGTATCTAACATCTATTGCATTAAAAAAATATAATTAGTGAAATCGTTCCGAACTATATTGTTGAAGTAAAATTTTACACTGATAAACAAGCTGTAAAAGATATAGCACAAGGAGATGCGTCAAATAAGAGAGGTTCAACAGGCTGATATTGCTTATCATTACGTCAAGGATGTATTACAGACGAAGAACTTTTCTACTGAACACGTATTTTCCGATTACAACTTGGCGGACATATTTACAATTCTTTAATCAAAACTACAACTTTTCTTTAAATTCTCTATTATATAATAATATGGGGTTGTAACAAGTAAAGAACAAGGCTGCTGCTTTGTACCTCCTAAAAAATTGAGATTAATCCAGGATTTTCCAACCCTCATTTTGAAAAAAAAAAAAAACTACAACTACTTAAGGAACCCGTACAATAAATAAAGTCAGTCTTACAGGCTTCTCTTTCATTTCTTTTGTTTCTGTCAGACTCTGACCCTCACCAGCTAGTTAAAGTTGTGGTTGACCTGTTAATAGGGGATATAAACACTTAAAACATAGAAATGCGCTTCTTCCGCGTTTTAGCAGTACTTGTAGCTTTGCCATGAGGTAATAGTGATTAAGAGCTTATCATTCTTTACGAATTGAAACTAACTTAAATTTCCAAATCTTATACGTGAAAACAAATGGTATATACCATGATCAAGTTTGAAGTCATAAGGAAAACAACCATTCTCTCAAAAAATACATAAAACTTTTTTGAAGGACTTTTATTTATTGCAACCTCTTTTAAGGTTTTCAGGAGGGGTTAAGAAGAAGGCTCGAGTCTCTCTTTTAAAATGAAGGAGTAAAGAAAAAAAATCTTTGATGGTCGCCAGTTTTTTGTAACACGGCTAAGATAAAAACCAAAATCTTTTGTCTATGCGGCAATGCGTAAGAGAAATTTACGCCATTATGCGTTTATCTTACCTGCCATTTACCTTAACTTCAGCCTTAGTATCCTGTTTATTATCTATTGCGTTAAAGTTAAAATTTATCTGTTATTTTCGGTATGAAGATGTTTTTAAGAAAAAAAAGAAACATAAATTGTGAATAAGACCCTTCTAATAACTACAATATTGGAGAATAAAAGTTTTTGGTGGGTGGCTGGGGAGTTCAAGTTCTTTTTACAGAAGTTAAAGAAAACATTATTTCTTTCTTGTAAAAAGGAATGTGCGTAACTTTGTAAAAGAACTGATGCTTACTTCATATGATTAATAAACCAGTGATACACAGATATAAATATGGTAGTATGAGAGACGCCAGAGAAACTTAATAAACCAAAATAAGTTTACTATTTAGCCTTATTTTTATATTTTTCTAAAGGGCCGAGGAACACAAACTAATGTTATAAAAACTTAAAGAACTAACTGTGATAGAACAGTTCTTGCTTTACAAATAATTAACGATTTTTAACTTTTATAAATTCCAATGCAACAACTTGGGCGAGCTTAATAAAAATGATTTTCTTTCTTTTGAATAGGTGTTATGGCATGTTACCCCTAGTAAAAGCAAGCTCTTTTTTTTCGTTCTTCCTCTCTGCTGTTTGCGTTGTTAATATATATGACTCCGCCTAACGGTTACCATATATGAGACTGGAATGCAATACTGGCACATGGATTAAATGCAAATTAATGGAATAATTTTTAGATGTAGATTCCATTTCCTGAGAATGATGTCCTCAAGTATAAAAGTCAATTACAATTTAGAGTTCTTAGTTCTTAGTATGCAGAGGATCCCCTTTAGTGCGTCCGCACTTGTCTGCTAGTTGATTGATTGAGTGGACTATTTTCAATCTTCGTCTTTATATATATACCTTTCTAATTTCTTATAATATATAATAAAATATGTACTTTTTTTTTTTGTTGCTCTATAACTATATATTTTAAAAGTTAATAAAAAATGGAGATTGAGGGAGCTCCTCCCCTCTGGAGAGAAGCTCATAGTGGGGAAGGCCCGGCTGGCAGTGGCGCTGACCGGTGTTGCCAGGTGGTCTCGGTGCTTGTCCAAGGTCGTCTCTCCCGATGGTGATTTTCAGTGGTTTTCCGCTACACTAGGCCGAATGGTGGGTGTCCGGACCCGATATTCTGGCTTTTTCAGTCCTTCGGGGAGTCACTATAGCTTTTTAAAGGGCGTTTACTAGTGTGTACTCGTGTTCCAACCCCTACAAAAGAGGGGAAATCGGATTAAGCGGTTTAAGGTCTCAAGGAGACCGGCCATAGTATGCCAGTGAGAAAAAACAATAGAGATTGAGCCTCGTAAAATTTTAAGTACGGAAAAATAAAAGTTTGACAACCGTGTAAGGCTTCAAGACTTCGGGTTTCGTACTTTATGGCCACTTTTGGGTGGTTTTAAAGGTTTTATCATCCTTGTCAAGTTACTTTCAATACTTTTCAGTTAAATAAAAAAATTAGTAATCCTGCTTGAAGAAAAAAATAAACAGCAGGATATCCATATTCAATAAAGGGCGATCGTGAGATAGTGCTTAGGTCAAGATTGCAGGTTGAGGAACAGTTTTAAAACCATTGGTTTAATTTAAATAGAAAAGAGGATAAAACCAGTTACGTTTCTTCTTATTTTTTTTTTTTAATAAAACACGGTCTAGGCGGATTTGAAGCCATTTGGGATAGGCCGTAGGAAGCTCGTGCATAATCGAAAAAAAAAAGTCTGTGTGCGAAGGAAGTCGGTGGGGGAGGGGGGGGAGGATTTTCGCCTCCTCTTCGTTTTATTTTTCTGGTTTTTATTATAAAACCATGATAATGTTCTTAAGGTATTTATCTTGGGGTGGCTGTAAGAACACTTATATTGAGATTACCCACATTCGTTATAAAGGTATGGTTCGATATCCCCCTTACCTTAATAATCAATTAAAGTAGGGTACCCCAGAGATTTAAGGGTTGAGTCTTTTTTCTTTCTTTAAAACTCTCAGCTTTATCGGGCTTGGCTCCCAGAAAAGCTCAGAGTCTCACGATTCGCTCTTTTTTTTTCTTTTCGTGGAACTCACTAGATTTGAATCTCCTCGGGCTTATCTCCCACCTTCTACAGTGCTTTAAAAACATTTATTTGTTTATAAATTTTCTTGGTTACTTTAGTAAAAATACTTGCTTGGTCGTCCCGTAGCCTACTAAGACTAAAAACTATTCCTTATACTTTAGCGTACAGCTTTATAAACCGGCCTCAAAGTTTAACAAGACTTAAAACAAAACAAGCATTAAACGAAAAGAAACAAGGAAAATAAATAAAACCTGAAAGTCATACTTTTAGCTTAGCGACTGGTTGATTCTTTCTCTATCCAAATTTTCTTTTGAATGAGAAAAATTGCTTTTAAATATAACTCTTTTTGCTCATAAGGGGAAGGGTACTGATAGATCTATTAAAATTAGTCTCCGTCAGGCCCTTTATTCTGTTATTTTAAGGCTGTTTAATATAACTTCTGGTGACTCTTTCCAGAGTCAGTTTGACTGCAGCTTCTTTGAAATTCTGTTTGTTTTCTAATTTACAAATAATCTAAATTGATCATAGCTTTCCAGTCTACTGTCTTCATCTTTGTTGTTGTAGAACAGCTTTGTGAAAAGCTTCGCAAATTCCTTTTTGTTACGATAACATTCTATTTTTATCTTTCAAATTAAGAAAAGGATCACATTTGTAAACTTTTTAATGACTGTAAATCCTTTGTTTCTAGTGTAACCTTATATAACTACTATTTTTAAATTTAGTACTTTTATTTAAAATAATTTTAAAATAGCTTTTATCATTAGATTAATAAGTAATATAAAATATTTTATACTCCTAATTTTAACTATTTTATAGTTGTAAAGTTCAAGTTACTATTTTAACCTTGTATAACTATTAGTTTTAACTCGACTACTATTTATTTAATGATTTACTACTAATATAGTTATTATAATTCAATTGTCACGAAAAATAAAATAAGTTACTTTAACTGCAAATTAAGATTATGGTTTAATACTAAAGAGAAGAAACTTATAATACTTATATTTAGTAACTACTACTAAATCTGTCCAGCTTGACAACAATAACACTCTAATAAGATCTATTTTTTCACAACGGAAATTTCATCTTCCCTTAAATTCTAAGTACTAAAATTTTAAAGATATTAGTTTTACTTTAGTTATTAAGATTTTTTTGAGTATTTATTAAAGTAAAGAAATTTTCTTCCTGGAGATAGTGGAACTAGAAAGCTTTGCTTAAAACCGTAAGTTTACGATAACTTAGCTGGCGTTAATTCCTAATATAGAATTATATCTGTAGAAAGTAGTAAGAAGAACCCACTTTTCTTAACAGAGTATTCGTGTATGTTTATAAATGAACTTTTAAGGAAATATTTATTGTAAATAATAATAATAACAATACGTTTTAAATTATGGTTACTTCTATTGTCTATGAGTTAACACTATGTCTATATAATATATACTTTTAGACAAAATATACTTTTGCAGTAGAAGTTTTTTTTTCATTTTGAGTAATGAAAAATTCTGAAAGTAAACCCAAGCGGGGTCCTTTACAAAGCATTCTTACTGGTAAAAATAACAACAAAACTAAACTTTTTAAATTTTTTTTTTAAATTTTTTATATTTTTAAAGGTGGACTGGTCGGCGGACTTGAAATTTGTATAACTTATCCAACTGAATATGTTAAAACACAACTCCAACTTGACCAACGCTCTGCAACTCCAAAATTTACTGTATTTTTATACTGCTTTTTCTTTTTTTTTTAATTATAATTATTCAAAAGGGCATTTCTGATTGCGTTAAAAAAACTATAAGTCAGTATGGATTTAAAGGATTATACAAAGGTTAAAAATTTTTATTACCACTAATAATTTTCAATTGCTAATATAATTATTGTAAATAATAATTGTTAGGAATAGCGCCTCTTCTTGCCGGTTCCGTTCCTAAATGTGCAGTGCGTTTTAGTGCTTACGAGCAGGTTATAATAATTGTAAATGTAATATTAATGGTTTAAGTAATTACGGGATTAAATTAAGTTTTATTATGCAATTATTATAGGCAACTCAATTGTTTAAGGATGAAAATAATAAAATATCTCAAGGAAAAAAGTTTTTAGCCGGTTAATTATTTACGATTAATTTTTAAAAAATAAATTTATATTATATAAATTTTTTAGAATTAAGTTCAATTAAAAGTGGTTTATAACTTTTTTGAGTAAATTTATTTTTACATGGGGTACTTAGTTTAATTTTTTAATTTTTAATATTCTGTTTAATTAATATTTTAAAGCACAAAATTATTTATAAGCTTTCAAGTAATTATATTTTCAGTATTTTAATTTATAAATATTAATGATAATTGGTTTCAACAAAAGCTTTTAATATTTTTATAAAAAAAGGAAATGAGAAGTTAATTTTAGCATGAAAATATTTTATATACGAATTATATTTAATTTTTTTTCGTTATAAAAATTTAATTAATTTTAATCTTTAGGGCTTCTTGCAGGAGCTTCAGAGGCGGTTCTTGCTGTATGCCCGATGGAAACTGTGAAAGTTAAATTCGTGCACGATCAGTCTTTAGCGGAACCTAAATTTAAAGGCACACACGCATATATATATATATATAATTTTATTATATAAATAAAATTATAAAATAAAATCATTTACATAATTTCTACTAATTTTGAAAGATTTACGCATTTTAAAAAATTTAAAAGTATATTAATAGGATAAGTTTACCACCTAATTCTGTAATTTTTTTTTTAAAATTAAATCCGTTTTATTAATTGTACGAGTTAATAAGATCTCATACATTCAAAAAAAGTTAAAAAAATAACAAAATATTTGAATTTTATCATCAAATTCTGTGAAACAATTACTTGAAACTTTCAGATTATAAAAAATTTACTTTTTATATTTTTATTTTTATTTTTATAACAAAATTTGTTAATTTTGTTTAAAATTAAAGTAAATTAAATTTTTATTAATTACTATTGTCTAATTTTTTTAATAAAATTACTTACATGAATTTTATTATAATTATTATTTAAATTTTCTTGACTTTATCGGAATCTGTTTACTAAAGTTTACAACTATTTAAAACTATTTATTTGCAAAAAAGTAAATTTTTTAGTTTTGAAAAAGTACTTTTTATATAGTTTATCATTTTTTAGTTAGTTATATCAAAAAATTTAATATTTCTACTAAAATTTATAAATCTTACTTTAAAAAAATTATTACTTCTATTATTTTTATTACAATTTTATATGTGAAATCCAAAATCATAAGAATTTACCTTTAACGGTATTTTAAGTTTTTGTCAAATCCATATTTAATTTTTAATTTCTTTTTTGCTGTATGTATTGTTCACTATTTTTACTTTTCAAAAATTTATAGGCAAATAAAAATTTAAAAAAGTTGTTATATTTTTAATAAAATTATGATTTACAAAATTTTACTTTAGAATTTACTTATGTTTGGAAACAGGTAAACTTTTATCAATTTTTATTAAAACTAATTATAATTTTTCTATTTATAAAATAATATGTATTTTGTACTTCACTATGCTTATTATGTTTTTATTTTGTAGAATATTAAATTAAATAATTTTTATTTTATTTTTAAAAATTTATAAATTTAACTAATTTCTACTTTTTGAAATCTTAATTATAATTTTTAGTGTTTTTTTTAAATTATTTTTTTTTAAATTTTATAACAAAAAAAAAATTATTTTAGTTAAAAGATTCTGGACTTTTTTAGTTTCCGCTCTTTTTTTAAATTTTTTTAATTTAAAATTTTTGTTATTTTTTTTATAAAATTATATTTTTATAATTTTTGATTATTATTTTTTTACAAATAATTATACAGAAAAATTTTATTACAGTAATAATTATAACTAATTCTAGTTTTGTAAAGCAGAATTTGCTACTTTTTTATTTATTTTTATCAAAAAAAACTTAATCCTGATCAATTTTTTGAAAAACTAGAAAAATTAAAAAAAAAATTTTAAAATCGCTAATCTTCTATTAAGGATTACCCAATTAATTATTTTTTATTATTATTTCATTAAATTATTTATTTTATTATTTTTATGAAATAAATTATATATTCATTAAATTTTTGGACATTATGAAATTTGAAAATTTCTTTTAATAAAAGTTTTATTAAAGAATTTTTCTTATTAAATATTATTTCTATTATTTTTAATATATATATATATATATTTATATTCAATAGTCGTATATATTATAATAAAGTTTATAACTTTAAATTCACTTTTAAAAAACTTCAAAATTTTTTTATTTTTTATTAATTTTTTTATAAATATATTAAAATTATATTAATATTTTTAAAATATTCTAAAATTTCTGCAACTATTTTTAATAAATTTATTAATTATAATTTATTTTTGTAAACTGTTAATTTTATTAAATACCTATTTAAATCTTTCAAAATATATATAAATACTTGATTGAAGTTCAATATTACTTAAACTTTTATATTAGGATTCCTTCACGGGCTTAGGAAGATTATAAAAAATGAAGGTTTTTATTTAGTAAATTTATTGTTTATGTTTAAATATTTTAATTATTTATTAAACTTTTTTATTTTAAATGTATAAATTATAACTATTTTGCACTTTTTATATATTATATTTTTTATTCGTAAAAAGTAATTTATTTATATTATAAAATTTAAAAAATATGATGAAAGTTTTATTGGCAGTTTTACCTTTTATGTTTAAAAATTTACAATAATTTGAATCACAAAAATAAAATTTTTGATTTTTAATTAAAATTTATTTATTTATTTATAAATTATAACTAATTTGCACTTTTTGTATATTAAATTATATTCCTGAAAAGTAGTTTATGAGGCTATTAATTTTTTAAAAAAAATTTATTAAAAATTTAAAAGTTTTATTTAGTAGATTTACTGATTTACGTCTTAAATTTTAAAATAATTTGCTTTAATCGTTAATCTTTTTATTATTATTTATAAATTTTAAATATTTTTCATTTTTATAAATTATATTAATTTTTATTCATGAAAAGAAGTTTATTTTTATCATAAAATTTAAACAAATGATCGAAAAGTATTTAAGGGTACTAATTAAAAAGTTAGAATTTTATTTTACTCAGTAGGTTTACCAATGATTTTTTAATATTATTTATTAATAGTAAATAAAATTTTGTAATTTTAAGAAATTATTAATAAAATTTTATTGATAAAAGTAATTTATTTATAATATTTAAACTTTACTGAATATTTTTTAAATTTAAAAATAATTAGTTTATGTAAAGTAAAATTTTCATATTTGATTTATTTTTTACTTAATTTATAATGAATATAATTTTCCAAATTAACAAATTGTTAATAAAGTTTTATAAAAATTTTACTTGTTGAATTTTGTTAATTGAAAACAATTTATTTATAATATAAAAACTTTTCTATCAGTAGTTTTACCGATTATTTTTTAATTCAAAAATAATTACTTTATGTGAATTTAAATTTCTAATTAATTAATTTATTTTTTTAATAATAAAATTTTGCATCGTTTAAAATTATTAATTAAATTTACTAAATTTTACTTGTTGAAAGTTAATAATGAGCAGTAATTTATTGTTATAATATGAACACTTTATTTTTCTCCGAAGATTTATTGCATATTTTTAATTTAATAAGTTTATATATTAAAATTATATATATTCTTTAGTTAATTTATTAATAATAAATGAATTTTGCAATTTTTAAAAATTAATTAAATTTTATTAATAAAAAGTTATTTATAATATAGAAACTTTATTTTTCTAAGTAAAATTACTAATTATTTTTTTAAATAAAAATAATTATTATTCAATTTATTATTTATTTTATTATTAATAAATAAGATTTAGCGTTATTTAAAATTATTAATTAAATGTTATTATAACTTTGCTTGGGGAATTTAATTGATGAAAACTAGTTTATTTATAATATAATAAAAAAAATTATTTTATGGAATATTTTATGAATTTAAAATAATTAGTTTATGTAAACTGAAGTTTATGTAATAATTATTAATTAAATTTTTTTAATAATTAATAAAATTTTGCATTTTTTATTAGTTAAATTTTATTAAATTCTACTTTTTAAATAACGAAAAGTATTTTTTTTACAATATAAAATTTGAATAAATAAATGAAAAAATTATAATCTTTCTTTTCATTATTAGAATTACTGATTGTTTTTAAATTATAAAATAATTAGAATTCTATTATGAAAATTCTTTAAAATATTTATCTTATTTTTTCATTTTTTATAATTAATATTTTTTTTTATATATTATAATTTTATTTGTAAAAAGTAAATTATATATAATGTAAAATTTAAAAGAATAAACAGTAAAAAGTTTAGACATTTAATTATTTTTTTTTAACTATTTAAGAAATATTTTTCTTTTTTTAATATCAAGAAAAGTTATACAATCCGAAATTTAACTTTAATAAAATCTTTATTAATAATTTTTTTTTACTTTTCTAACTGAATTAAATAATTTATTTTTTAAATGAGGTTTTAAAAAATTTATTAAATCTAAGAAAACCATTTTTACTAAATTTTTTTTAAAGTTTTATATTAATTATATAATCACCATAATCATTTATTTCTCAAAAATTATACTTTGATGATAATTTCATTAAATATAAACATTATAAAATATAATTTTAAAAAATATAAAAATATATTTTTTATAATATTTTCATATCATTTCTAAAACTGTCTTACAAAAATATATTGAGTAATAAATGATTTATTTTAAATTTTTTATATAATTCTAATTGTTAATAGAAATTTTATGAATATAATTTTATTATATATTTTTTTTACTACTATACGGGTTTAAGATAAATAATTTAACGATTTTATATACTTTTATTACTTTAATTTTTTTATTTTTTTATAACTGAACTATATTTTACTTATAAAGATTTCAATTATATTTAATGTTAAAAAAAAATAGCAATTTACGAATTTACAAATTTTTTACTTTATTTTTAATATTAGGTTTATAAAGTTATTTAATAATAATTATTTTTTTGTTTCTTCTTTGGTACTGAAAGGAATTTACTTAGAGTTTTTTAATAAAAAAAAATAACTGCTTTTATATTTTTAATGTTACTATTTTTATAAAATATAGAAAAATCAATTATCTTTAACTTATTTATCATTAAAGTTTATATAACTAATAAAACTTTTACAAATTTATTTAATTTAATATTTTTTTTCACTTTTTATTATCTTTATGGGCTTAACATCATTTTAACGGGACGAAATTGTAAAAATTATTACTATGTATATAAAATAAAAGTAAATTTTATAAAATTTTATAAAATATTGTATTATTAAGCTTATTATTACTCTTATTGTGCCAACTAATAATAATAATAAATTTTCGCATTTATAATAAATCTTTTAATTTTTAGTAAAACTTTTTATTTTCATAAAAAATGAAATAGTAAAAATTATAAAAAGTTAAAGTTTTTATTATAAAAAGCAAGTATATAAAATTATACAAAAAAGGAAATTTTAAAAATTATTTAAAATTTAAATTCTAAATTTTATTTTTATTAGTTTATTTTAATTTTTATATAATAATTTTGACTTTTTGGTTTTAGTTTCTACTATAAATTTATTATTAGTTTTGTAATATTAAGGTTTCATAATATTTTACGCCAAAAGAATTCATTATTAAATTTTTTTATACTATTTTAGGAATTGGCGGAATTTATAAAGGAGTAGCCCCAACAGTTTTGAAGCAGGCCAGCAATCAGGGCATTCGCTTTTTAGTATACGATAACGTTAAAAATTAGTAATAATAATTAATATTATAAATTATTATTATTATTTTGTTATTATTATTATACTTCAATTTAAAAAAAAAAATTTTTATGAAATATTAACTATTTTTTACTATTATTTATTTAAGTGCAACTGATAATAAAACTATTATCAGTAATAAAATAATATTATTAAAGCTATATTAATTATTTATATATTTTTTTATTAAGTTACTTTTATTAGTTTTTTCCTTAATAAAAATTTAAATAATATTAAAGATTTTTTATGGATTTATGCTTCTTCATAAATTTAGTAATATAAAAATTTTATTTTATTATTAATATTAAAGTTTTTTATTATTATACAAATTCTCAGTAAATTTATTAAAAGATTATAATTGTTATTGTTAAAAATTTTAATAGTATAAAGTTTTATTATTGATATTCATATTTTATTATTATAAATTTTAAAAAGTTATATATATACTTTTATTAGTATGAAAATTATATAAATTAATATACTATTCTAAAGTTTATCAAAATATTATTGTATTTTAAATTATTATCATAAATTTATATCAATTTTTATATATTTCGTTTTAAAATAAATTTGTCAATTAATAATAAATTTAAATTATAATTATTAATTATAATATTTTTGATTATTATCAAAAATTTTTAAATTCTTATTAAAAAGTAAATTTATTATTTTTTTATTAAAATAAAAGTTATATTAGTTATTTATTCTAGTTATTATTATTTATTTTTAAATATTATTACTATAGAAAATTTATATTATTTTAATATTAAAATAAATTTACAAATCAATAAAATAATATTGTATAAAAAAAATTAATAATATTAAAGTTCAGTCAATAAAAATATTTATTAATATAAATTTTCACAGTTATTATTGTTCAATATTATTAATATAATTTTATTATTATATTTAGTATTAAGTTTATTATTATTTTATTAAAAGTATTAAAAATTATTAATAATTTTATCAACTTTATTATAAAAGTTGCTATCACTTTTCTTAATTTAAATTTACTATTAATATTACAGTTTTATAAATTATTTTGTTATCTTTTTTTATTATTTTTTAAAATCGTTATACTTTTTGAATGTTATTAATAATTTTGAAGTTATATAAATAATGTTGTATTTAATTTATTTTAATTAGAATTATTAATTTTTTTAATTGAGTCATTATAATTGAAGTTTTATAAATTTCTGCTGTTCTTAATAATAATAATATTATTAAATATCATTATTGTTGTAAGTAAAATATTATTAAATTATTTAAATTTTATTATTTTGTATTGTTTAAGTAATCAATATTTAAATTATAATAATTTTTTTGTTAGTATAAATTTGTGAATTTATGTTTTTTTTATAATTATTATTTTTATAATAATTATCATTTTAATTAAAATAATTATATAATTATTTTTTTAGTTCTTTTTTATTTTCTTAAAAAAAAACTAATAATAATTATAATAACTTTTTTAACAAAAACTCTTTTCAAGTTAGGCATGAATTACTATTATTAATATAATTATAACCCTTTGCAAGTTTGTCATAAATCGTTATTGTTATGTAAAAATAATTTATTATTAAATTTATATTTACTTAACGTAACTAAATAAAAGGAAGATTAATAATAACTTTTCTTAATAAAAGTCTTTGCAAGATTAGCATAACCTATTATTATTTTCATTACATTTTTTATAACTTTTAAAACTGTTATTATATAAAATAACTAAATAAAAATACTTATAATAGTAAAAATAACTTTTTTTTTTGCTAAAAAGTCTTTGCAAGTTTGCCATAAATATTTTTATTATTATTAAATATTATTTTCATTTTAAAAAATTAATATCTTTTTATAATAACTAAATAAAAATAATTATAATAGTAAAATAACTTTTAATAATAAAAAAGTCATTATAAGTTTGACATAAATTATTATTATTATTATATATTATAAATACTTTGCAAAAATATTATTAACTTTATAAAGTAAATTAATAATCACCATAGTTGAATTGTTACCATTACACTGAAGTATTACTTATTATTTTATTAATAACTTTATAAAAATATTTCTTTAGTTAAGAAAATAATAATAATCTATATTAATAAAAAGTCTTCGCACGTATGACATGAATTATTGTTATTATTATTAGTAGTAGTCTAAGTATTAGTATTTTTATGAATATTTGTTTGAATAAATAAAAAATATTAATGATATCACTTTTTTTAATGAAAAGTCTTTGCAAGTTTGAAATGAATTCAATAGCCACGAATGCTATTTCGGGGCTGATTGCTGGTGCTTGCAGTGTTTATGGAAACACTCCTATTGATGTAGTTAAAACAAGAATGCAAGGTTTATATGTTTCTATTATCATTATTATTAATAAATATATTAAAAATTATGAAAACATAATAAAAATAATAATGATAATAAATGTTTATAAAAATGCTTAAACTTACAAAAATTGCAGGCTTTTTTATATATAAAATTATTATATATACAAAAAAATAATTAAAAAATAGTATGAATTATATTTTAGATAAAAAGCGAAAATAATTAAATTTTATGTAGATTTTAATAATATATTAAAAAAATATATTTACTTAATATAAATGTAATAATAGAAAAAATATAAATTATTTATTTATTTAATAATAACGAAAAAAAAATTGATCATAAACGAAATTAGATAGAAATAAATATTTTTTAGTATACAAAAATTATACTGATTAACGCTTATTATTATTTTAATATAAAATTTTCTAACATGAAATTATTATATAACAAACAAAAATAAAATATTATATATAATAATAATGGTAATGATAATATTAATAAAAGTCTTAATAATGAAGGGCTTAAAATATATTATCAATAAAATAAATATTATTTTAAATACTACAATTGATATTTTATAAAAAATAAGAAAAATATCAATAATAGCAATAATATTATATAATATAATAAAGTTATATTATAAAATAATAATAATTTCATTAATAAATAATTAAATAATAATAAAACTTATACACATACTAGTTACTAAAAAATTTATATTATTTGTTATAATTATAATAAAAAATGATTATAATAATAAAATGAAAATTATGTAACTAAAAATAATATTTATTAAAACTTCTAATAAAAATAAAATTATATTAAAAAATTTTTTAATACAATACTTTTTATAATAAAAATGAAAGTTATATAAACCGCAGGCTTAAATTATTTTTTTTAATATATATATTTTCTTTTAATAATAAATATATAATTAGTATTAGTAATATTAATATCTTTACTGTTAGTAGTAACATCTATAAATAAAAAATAGCGGGAAAGTCAATTTTATTTATATATGTTTATAGATTATAAACATATAAATAAAATTTATTTTTAACAATTATTAACAACAATCTAAATTTATTATTAAAAATTTAATGATTATAAACGAAAAAATTTGTTACTAAAAATTTGTTATTAATTAGTGAAAAATTTGTTAAAAAAATTAATTTTTAACAAAAAAATATGATATAAAAAATTTATAACTAACATTTGTTAATAATAATATTTTTATACATTAATTTAAAAAAATTTTGCTAATAATAATTATTTATTTATTACAAAAATATTTTTTAGAATTTATTATTGAAAATATGCTTATAATAATAATTTTAAATTTATTATGGAAAATTTGTAAATGACAAAAGGTTTATAAAAATTTAAACTAAAAATTAATTTATAGAATTTGTAATTAAATTTTGTTATTAAATATTAATAAGAATATTATAATAAAATTTCTTTATAAAACTAAATATAAAATATTATAAAAAGTTTGTTAGTAAAAATAATCAAGAAATTGTTAATAAAAAAATTTTGCTGGTAATAATTAATAACTAAATTATAACTTAAAATTTCTTAATAAAACTAATATAATTTACAACTAAAAATTTGTTGATATAACTGATTCATAAAATTCATAATAAAACTAATTTTCTTAATAAAATATTTTATAAAATTTATAATTTATAATAATTAATAAAATTTTAAATACTAAAAAGTTGATAAAAATAATCTATAATAAATTTATTAATAGCAATCATTACTATTAAAAAATTTATTAACAGAATTAAATAAAGTTTTAACAACTATAAAATTTTTTATTAAAATAATTTTTAAAATTCATAATTTATAATAATTAATAAAGTTTAAATACTAAAAAGTTGTTAAAAATAATTTTATAATAAATTTATTAATAGTAAATATTACTGATAGTAAATTATATAAAGCTAAAAATTCTTAATAAAATAATTTATTAAATTCATAAATTATAATAAGTAATAAAATTTAAATACCAAAAGTTGTAATAATAATTAATAATAATGGTCATCATTACTAATAGTAAATTGTTTTTAAGTTAAATTTATTAAAAAATAATTATGAAAATTTACAAGTTTGAAATTTCTTAATAAAATAATTTGTAAATTTCATAATTCATAGTAAATTTAAATACTAAAAAGTTGATAAAAATAATAATTTTTTAATAGTAATCTTTACTAATAATAAATTGTAATATAACTTACGAATAATAATCAGTCACAAAAAGATTACGATAATACACTATAAAGAATAATAGTGTATATTTTTCAGGTTTTATAAAAAATTTGTGTTAACAGAAATTAGTAATAATAATACTACAAATATATAAAAACTTTCCAGGCTTGGAAGCAAATTTATATAAATCCTCTCTTGATTGTTTCTTAACAATCATAAAAACCGAAGGACTTACTGCGTAATATTTTCTTTGTAGTTAACGATTATTATTATAAGTTTGAGATTGATATCTATTCTTAATATAAATAATAATTGTTAAAAAAAGTTTATATTTGTGCTTATATTAAATTATTATCAAAGTTTAATATTAAAATAATATAAAAAGATATCCTCCTAGAATAAGTATTATTTATTAATATTTAAATGTAAAGATTAATAATAACTTTGCTCTTGAAATCTATTTCGAATATATATATTTAAAAAGTTTTTTTTAGTTATACTTAATTATTATTAAAAGTTTAAACGAGATCTATATTTAATATACAATAATTATGATAAAATTTTACTAATTATTTATAATTTATTATTATTATTATATAAATATTATTGTAGTAAGTAGAATTTTAATTCTATTTTAATATGTATAATTATAAAAGTTTGAATATTTTTTGAATTATTTTATATATAAACTTTTTTATAATGTTTTAGGGCTTCGAAATAAATAAAAAGTCACAAAAACATATATGATTTTAAAAATGTATTAAAAAAAATATTAATAAAAACTGATTTTCGCAGTCGAGAAGAAAAGTATTTCTATGATCTAAATGTGGTAAAGTTTGCTTTTATTTTTTTAACAAAACTAATATTTTATATTTAAAATATTATTATTTCAGTAATAAAAGCTTTATAAATTATAAATAATAATTATTATAATATATGTTAATTATTGCTTTTCAGAGATAAATTAACATCCAATAAATTAGTTTATATTTTTACAGCGCCAATAATGGTTTATTAAAAAGTTAATAAACTTCGATATTCTTTATCATAACTAAAAAGTTGATGCAATAATTATAATGAGGTATATGAAAGGGTTTTTGAAAGTTTATATTTTACATTCCAAAATAGAATAGTTGATATAAAAAACAAATAGTTCAGTATATTATATATTACAACAATCTATATTTGAATAGAAAAAAGTCAACCCAATGAAATAATAAAAAATTTAAAAAAAATTTAAAAAGTTAATTATTTAACAAAAAAAATTAAATTTTATACATTTTTTTACATTTTCACCGAAAAATTCATATAAAAATATAAGAAGTCTATTAAGAAAATTTTTTTAATTAGTTATTGTTCTTATTAAAAACTTTTTAAATAAAATTTAAGAAAACTAAACAAAAGAAAATATATTTATTATAAAAAATGATGTACTATACAATATAATTAATAGTAATAATAAGTAATTATTATATTAATGTTATAAAATAATATATCATGACAATCTACATAATTATATGATAAAAATTAATGAAATATAAAGAATAAGAAATAATAAATACTTATAAAAAATTGATAAACTCCGTAATTATATAATAATCAGAAAAATTAATACAATGAATAAGAAATAATATATTATTCGTTAAAAAATTGATAAACTACCAATATAAAATAATAAGTTATTCGTATAAAAAATACTCAAAAGTTTTACCAACTTTTACAGTTCGGCTCAAAAACTAGTTCTACTGTTAAAAAAATATTTTAAGAATTTTAATTATATTCAATTTTATCAATAAAAAATTTCTTATATAACAAAATTGGAAAATAATACAAATTTATGTTTTAAAAAAATTTGTAGAAAAATATTTATAAATATATATATTATGTTATGACTTATTTCTTTATTTCTATTGTAGATATAAAGCAATTTTGATAGTGTTTTTTATTTGTATATAAATATAGTGCAAAAAAAGACGAAACGGAAAAATTTTTATAAAAATTTAAGACAATGAAGACAACTTTTCTATAAAAGATTAAAATGTTTATTACGCTAATTTTTTAATGCACAAAAAGTTTTTTACTAATTTTTTTAATCAATAAAATGTTTTTTTTGTAATTCGACTGACATACCGTAAAAGTTCTTTTGTATTGGACAAAAAAGTATTGTACTACTCTTATGGTAAAAAGTTTTATAAACTTTTAAAATAGTTTTTTTTGTTAAATTTATTTATTATTATATGTATTTTTTTTATTACTTTATTTTTTTTATTAATATATTTATATTATTTATTATAATTTGCTATTATAATATTTATTTTTATTTATGCTGAATGTTTACTTTATTCGTTTTTTATTAATATATATAAATTAATTATTGTATGTATTATAATATTTATTTATATTGAATGTTTACTTTATATATTATAATATTTTTATAATTGATATTATAGCTTTTCATTATAATATTTTTTATTTTGTTTACTTAGTTTAATTATCATAATATATACGCTTCCACTTATTTTCTATGCCCCAATTATTTTTTTTATTAAGAAAAACTATAAATAATGAAGAGTAAATAAAAATATTAGTATAAAAATTAAAAAAATATATATTTTTCTATGGCTCTTTCATTATTATTACCTTTTTAATATTATATAAAAATATAATATAGTGAATAATAATAAAAATAAAAAATGTAAAGAAATGTGGAAGATCATTATATTATAATGACTCTTTATTTATTACGCATATATATATATTTTTTATTTTATTTTATATATAGACATA